ATATGTGAACTGCTGTATGGAAAGTGAATTTGCTCTGTAAATCTTCACCCAAATCACAATAATAGTAATAATAAAAAGCTGTGTGAAATATTTTTGTATTAAACAAAAGTTTATTGTTTGGGGAGGACTGGGGCCACATTAAAGAGCTCTGGTTGTGAAGCGGTTAAGTGCTTGGATGCTAACCGAAAGGTTGGTGGTTCAAACTCACCCAGTGACTCTTCAGGAGAAAGACCTGGCAATATGCCCTGTAAAGATTACAGCCTAGGAAACTCATGAAGCAGCTCTATTCTGTCACATGGAGGTCACTAGGAGCCAAAAATTGACTCAAAAGTACCTATCAACAACAACAAGCATTACATTGGAGATCCTGGGTGATTCAAAAGGTTAATGCATTCAGCTGATAGATAACTGAAAGTTTGGAAGTTCCAGTGGATCATAGGCACTTCAGAAGAAAAGCCTGGTAATCTGCTTCCAAACAATCAGCCACTGAAAACCCTATGTTTTGTTTGCATGTTTTTTAATAATCACTTTAATAATTGACAATTTAGCATTCGGATTGAGAGGTGTTTCAAGTGTAAAACGCACACTGAGTTTTGAACACTTGGTATAAAAACCAAAACATCTCATTAGTTCTAAAGTATTGGTCGTATGTTAAGATAATATTTTCACCAATACATTATTAAATTAATTTCACCCATTTATCCTTATTATTTTTAATGTGATAACTAAAAATATCAATTCCATATGTGGCTATTTCTATTGGCAGCACTGCCCTAGATAATTCCAATGGCTTGTTCTACCCTTCCTATTCACTGTTCCCTTCTTCTGGAGAAATGCCACTCTAATGGCCATGGACAGCTTATCATTTTTTATGTTTTAGGCTCAAGTCGTATTTATTTATTTTTCACTTTAGAAAATAAGAGGTGAAATTTGAAACTGCTGGAGTTCTTTAAGATTATCAAATGGATTTCAGTGGAATATTTTGACTAGGTCAGTCTGTGAAATTTAGAAAACATCTTTTCTTCTTTTATTTTTTATCATGGCAACCCTTCCTACTTCCCGGATCTGTTGAGACTTTATCTTGAGAGATGCACCAGCCAAACTACATCGGCACAGGAGTGTGTTCCGAATTAAGCCATGACCAGAGCACTGGTGGTGTAGTGGATAAGGCATCTGACTACTAACCAAAAGGTCAGCAGTTCACACCCACCAGCTGCTCCATGGAAGGAAGATGGGGGCAATCTACTTCCGTAAAGATTTACAGCCTCAGAAACCCAATGGGGGTCACAGTGAGTTGGGATTGACTTGATGGCAGTGAGTTTGGTTTGGTGAGAACCTCTATGACTCTGAGGCTTAAGTGAAAATTGCCTTTGCACATGTTACCTAGCTGTTAAATAGCTTCCAAGCTCTGTACCTGTGAGGGCTGAGCCACAGGATACAGAGCCATAGACTCAGAAAGGGTGATGTGCTTGTGATGGCTTCTGGAAATAATAATCTTAAGGCACTGTACAAAATAGCTAATTTAATCTCACAACCAACACCTGACAGGGAATCAGTCTTTTTATTACACAGTACTCATTTCTGGATCTATCACCCATGGGTTTGTTAAGCTAGGCTTCTTTTGCACTCTGAATGGGACATTTTCCGAGAGTACAAGTATTCTCCCTGGGCCCATACTTGTTTTCCTCTGAGGATGGGAGGAACAGGGAAGGCTCTGTCTGCTGCAACTGCTGGAAAGGAACGGCCTCTGATTTGATAAAACTGCCTCTGACACACAGCTGGGGAAGTCAGTGTCACCTCCCCTTTTAGACTCTTTCAATCCTTTCCCAGTAATTAATTTGGCTTTGAAAATTAAAAGGGAGAGAAAAAAAAACACCCAAGTCTCAGAGGTAGCAGCAAGGAGCATATTAAATGTCAAGCAGAGCCAGTGCTCTCTTGGTAAACCTGGTTTTTCTGGGATAGCTTCTGACCCTGCACCAGACCCAGATGTTGGTGTTCTTCCAGTTTGCGGCAGCCTTACTTCCCAACAGAGGAGCTTTCCTGCTGACCCTCCACTCACCCACACTATCAGGGGCTGGAGAGGCAACTTGTTCTACTGGGACAGTACTCTTTCCTTGAACAAATGCCTCCTCTGCCCTCCTTATATCCCTTCCAAATACCATGTTACTTCATGGATGGTATTTCTGCTGTGCCCCTGATCTGTATGCAGGCCAACTTCAGATTTCATAGAGTCACTCATAGTTTTGCATACCCTACAGAGTATGGATGCAAAAACCAGTGGCTAACCTCTACCCATTTCTTGTTTCTGGAAACATTTACAGAGAAGAAACCAGGCAAGTGACAACTTGAGCTGTATCTCCTACTAGCTGAGGAGGCAGGACTCTCTGCCCCTTGGGAAGGACTGAGTTTTTCTCAGCGCTCTCTGATAAGCTTGTCACTCACATCAGTTCCCAGTCCAGCTGAGCCTGGTCAATGTCATCCATCAGCTTCATCAGCTTCTTCTTAAACTGATGCTCAAAACGCACATCATCCTCAATTACAAGAGTCTTCTCCAGCTCTCGGTCAATTACCTGTAAAAGTCATCGGTGGGAAGACACCCTATGAGAAATTTGATGCCCCCTTCTTTCTTTCTTTCTTTTTTTTTTTTCAATTAGATAAGTATTAAAAAGTAAAGAGCATAGTAGCACAATTTGTAGTAGCTCATAACTGGAACCAATGCAGATGCCCATCAACAGTAAAATGGATAAATACACTATGTAGCGCCTAAGGCACTTGACTGCTAACCAGAAGGCTAGCGGTTCAAACCCACCAGCCACTCCTTGGAAGGAAGGTTGGGCAATCTGCTTCCATAGTGACACTGCTTCAGAAACCCAAGGAGGGGTCGCTATGAGTCGGGTTTGACTTGACGGCACATAACAACAGCAACATGTCCACAACAACAAGAATCTATGATCTACAATCAAATGCAATACAGATGAATCTCACAAATGTAATGTTGATAGATTATACATAGTATGTGTTTCCTTTAATATACCAAAAAACAAACAAACAAAAACCCAAACTCACTGGTATTGAGTTGATTTGACTCAGAGACCCCTCCTTGAGTTTCCGAGGCAGTATCTCTACGGAAGTAGACTGCCCAATCTTTCTTCCAAGGAGTGGTTGGTGGGTTTGAACTACCAGTTTTCTGGTTAGCAGTCAAATGCCTTAGGCACTATGCCACCAGAGCTCCCCCATTTAATATAGAACAGTGCAAAAATTGGCAAAACTATTCCATGCTGTTAGAAGTCATGATGGAGAGTGCCCTTGGGGGCTACTAACTGGAAGGAAATATGGAAGGGGCACTTCTGGGGTATTGGTAACCTTCTGTTTCTTGATCTGGGTACTGATCAACATGGGTGTGTATTCAGTTTCTGAAATTTCATTGGGCCATGTCTTATGATATATACACTTTTATACATATGTATTACATTTCATTAAAAAAAACCTTAAAGCAAAAAAGGCAGGCATAGACTAGACCATTAAAAAAGAGAAGGCATTCAAAGGGTCCTTTCTGAGTTTTTCCTTCCTTGTGGGAACTGACCCTGTACTTCAATACCACTTCTATTAATGTCTTGATTGTAAAACATAGGTTTAAGTTCTGGCTCTAACACTTACTTGCCTGGGCAAGAAATGTAATAGTTTTCATCCCTCCTCACCCACCTCACATAGACATATATGTGACTTCTTGTATGAAATGACCTAATAAATGATGAGATGATATATACATACAAGGCATTCCTACTAATGATGAGAATAAATTTATAAGGTAAGGTCCTCAGGACATGGGTTTCTTCCCCCAAGATCTTTCCAATTGGCACCAAGCCTACCCCTCCTTGCTCCTTTGTTGCTGGCCCTGAGTTAGAGGGAGAAACTCTCAAGCATTATCTCTAACAATGACAGCCTCATATTACACCCTATCTTAATTTACGTACAAAGTCCCACTCCCCTTTCTCCTCATTATAAAGTTGCACATCTAAACAAAGTATTATTTACCTCTTTCCAGACAGAGTAGTGGCTAAGAAAGCAACCAATTTCACCCCTGGTTAGAGGTCTGGAGGAGTAGGGATCTCGATAACCAGGCAGCATTTCAATATTCAGGGCCTTCAGCTGGCTTGTGTTGAGTGCTCTGCATGACAGAGAACACATTGGAAAGTTAACAAGTGGAGATGTCCCCACGGCAGAGGCCAGACAGAGAGTTCTGCATATTCCTCTAGAGTCTCTACACATAGAGGAAGATTTCTCAAGTTCCTCAGGGTTAATGTGCCATGGTAGCATTAGGAGCTCTGTGGAGAAAGTGGTGTCTCTTATAGTTTTATGTATCCCTCACAGGGCCCAGCATAATTCTAAGCATCATTTGTTTTTAAAATTTTTGACAACTTCAAAAAGAGTACTCTCCTAAAGCATTAAGTACTAGAAGGAATGAGGATAGGGAAGAATGAGAGGAATCAGCATGTACATGAGCATATGTATGTGTGCCTTTCTTTTCGAGATAAAATCAGGAAAAAGGTGAAAATAAAAACAGAAGAGAAACATTTCTGAAAATCTACTCTTCCATAAATACAATAAGAACTTGGGCAAAAATTATCCAAATAAACTTTTTCAGACCTCTGGACATTAACTAAACGCTTGCAAAAATCTGCAGACTGTTTATTTAAGGAAAACAGCTGAATTTTAACAATCCCAGTGATTTTTGTGGTATTTTAACTTCTCCTAACCTCATCTTTCTCTCCCTCCCCCTGTAGTAGTCTTGAAAAGCAACAGCTTCACAATTGCAGGAGTTATGAAAACCAACTGTCTAGCAGTCAATGAAGGGTACAGAGCAGGTTTGGAACTCTCCCAAGGCTCTATTCCCATAAAATTGTCACAATTTGACCTATCTATCAGTTCCCTACAAAGCTCTATTTTCAGGGCTTCTCTTTATGACCTGACTCAGAGCTCACTCTGTGTTAACAGTACCCAGGGTATTTGTCAAAAATCATCCATCAGTGGCAACTGTTTAACATCACAGACGCCATTACCAGTTTGGACTGACAAGAGGCTGACCAAAAAGCTTAAAAGAAAAAACTAGGGAATGGAACGTCTAAAGAGGGCTTTGAAAAGCTACGTGCATGTATCATACTGAGTGTCTCTATGGAAAAGGCCTTCAGAAGGACCTAATCTCTCACCTCTGGCTGAATTTGAGATTCTGGGCAGGCAGAAAGCAAACGTTAAGGCAGAGATGTACACTACCTGATGGAGCACTGAAAACATGCCCAACACACAGAGAACCCCTTGGCAGAATGGATAAAAAAAGAAATGAATGTCATCCAACTAATGATATGCTGTCTCCAAGAGACAGTCTTTATATATTCAAAGACACAAATGGGTTAAAAGCAAAAGAAGTTAATATATATATATATATATATATATATATATATATATATGGGAGCTCTGGTAGCATAGTGGCTAAGACACTTGCCTGCTAACCAGATGGCTGGCGGTTCAAACCCACCAGCCACTCCTCGGAAGGAAGGTTGGGCAATCCTACTTCCGTAGTGATACTGCCTCGGAAACCCAAGGAGGGGTCGCTATGAGTCGGGGCCGACTCGACGGCACATAACAACAATATATATATACACCCCATATAACCCAAGAGAGCCAACATGGCTATACAGACAAAATATACTTTTAGACAATACAACACTATCAATAATGAACAGAACAGCAGTCAATGTCATGAGACAAAATGTATATGAACTGCTGCATGGAAAATAAATTTGCTCCATAAACTTTCACCCAAATCACAATAAAAATTAAAAAAAAAAAAAAAAAAGAATAGAATAGAACTAGGCAGAACACCATAAAGTAACTAGACATAGCAGACATCTAATAAAATGTTCCACCCAACAACAACAAAATACAAAGTCTTCTCATGGGCACATGAAGCATTCACCAGAGTAGAACGCATGTTTGACAATAAAGACTACATAGACAAAAAAAAAAAAGGTTCAATAAATTTAAAGGGATTGAAATAATATAAAATATGCTCTACAATTATAGTGGAATGAAATGAGAAATCAGCTCCAGAAGGAAATTTGGGAAATTTACAAATAGAAATTGAGCAACACAATTCTAAGTAATGAATGAATCAAGAAATCACAAAAGAAACTAGAAAATACTTTAAAACAATACTTTTTTGTTTTAGTGAAAACAAAAACATAACACTAATGCAGTGCTTAGAAAAATATTTAAAATTGTAACTATATTACAAAAAAATATTCAAAGAAAACACTGACAACATTAAGGAAAACACAGTAAAACTTCTAGAGCAATTTAGAAAAACAACAGAAGAACAAACTGTGGTACTTAAGTTTGTCTGTCAACTTGGCTGGCCTGGTTGAGTGGCTGGGCAGCTGGATATAGTATTCCCCATGATGAGAATGGTAATCAACTCCATGGTGGAATCTACTGTGAGCAGCTAAGTAGCTGCCTTAGAGATGTGGTCTTCTTCCTGTACATAAGGTGAAGTCTTGGGGATAGTCTCTAGCTTATGGCATGCTTGAATCCTGCATGCAGCTGAGTTGTTGTTCAGCAGCCTGCCATACTCTGCAAATCTTGGGACTTTCAATGGACTTGAATTAATGGCCTACCATGTGGTTTGGTAACATCAGGACTGTGCCTTGTTACTTGTCCACCTTGGGTTTGTCAGCCTCAGCAGCCAGCAGCTGAGTGAAGAAAAGCCTCCAGCTTCAGTGGGCCAGGAGAAGGAGGCAGAGCTGAAGCCCAAGGTTGAGGGCCTTTCACCCAGCCCCTAGAGCCTGGCACTTTGAACTTGGACTTAAAGCCTCCAAATTGAAAGAATAAACTCCTGTTTGTTATAGCCATCCTATTTGTGGTATTGCTGTTAGAGCAGCACTACAGGTAACCAAAACACAAACTGACGAACAAAAAATTAGAAACCATACAGAAACAACAAATGGAAATTCAGAAGACCAATACTAAGATTTCAGAAATAGATAAAACATTGAATGCACAAAGGAGTAGAATTAAATCAATGGAAGATAGAATTAGTGAGATTGGATGCAAATATCTCAATACTACTTTGTTAAGGGATAAAACAGAAAAAAGAGCAAAACAAAATGAAGAAAGCCTAAGATTCATCACCATCAAGAGGAATAACTTATGTGTGATTGGAATTCCAGAACAGGAAGAGGCAAATAAAACCATAGAGGAAATTGTTAAAGATTTGTTGGAAGAGAACTTCTCTAATATGATGAAAGATGAGAAAATATCTGTTCAAGAAGTCCAACCTCAAACAGGATAGATCACCCCCCC